GACAAATGGTGTCGTGTTGATGTTTGGTTTCAGGATGTGATGCCAGTGGTGGAGTTTAGAGGGTTCAGACTCAGCTTTAGTCAGATTAAAAGGTTCATGAAGTCTTCTGACCGGAGCACAAAGCGTCTGCTCTTGTGCTCACTGCAAACTGAAACATGTGCTTGTGTTAAAGGTTACGGCAGTAAATTTGGCAGAAATCACTAAAGAACAACTGAGAGGGAGCGTTTCTGCTGCTGTTTTTTAAGAACCTCGCCGCACACGTTCTCGGTACAAACGGCAAATGAAAGATTCCTCATAGATTCCTCCTCCTCGTCCTCCTCCTCCTCCTCCTAACAGGCCATTAGAGAAACTTGATCTCGCAGTGGAGCAGCTCCACGCTGGTTTCAAGCTTCAACTGCAGAAACCTTTTGTTTAGCTTTCGTCTTCTTAGAAATGCTCAGAAGAAATGAGCAACCGTGACAGGGACGCGGCCGTCGGATGGATGTTCTGCTGTGGTTGAGTTGAACTGAAGGCTGAAGTTCTGTGAGCGATGTTGGACGCTGGCTGGCGTTATGTTGTGATATTTGGATGATTTTAGCTTAAATGAACATGAGCAACTTTAATATTGATGTTAAAATGGCAGCGCTAATAGAAAACCAAATCTCATGTAGATCAAATTATTTGGTTTTTAGGTGAATCTGAAAGGCCTGAAAGCTTCAAACCTGCATTCTTTCCGACAACCAGCAGGGGGCAGCTCCTTTTTGGTTGTATCGTATAGAAATCTGGAAGAAAATGTGAGAATTTCTCATTTGATTTGTTACCTCAGTGAACATTTTCCTGATGAGTTTATGGCCTCAATTGCTCGTTAAACGTGTCTTTTAATACAGCATGGGGTTCATTTTGTTAGTAATCGGTACATTTAGAGTAAAATAAACAATAAAGCGGGGTATGTTTCAGGGCATGCATTCACACCCACCGCTCGAGTGTTTGGTCCGTTTTCTACAGACCAAGATGGCGACGGCCACATTCCAAACTTGAGGCTTTAAAACAAGGTTCACAAACAAATGAGTGACATCACGGTGGCTACAGCCATCTTTTATATGAAGCCTTTGGCCTTGTCCACACGTAGCAGAGTTTTCATATATCAATATCCTCCCCCCGACACACCACCTCGTTTCTAGAAAAAAAATCCATCCACACCTAACCGCATAGTTAAGCACATTCATAAGCTGCCAAACCTCTAGGTGGCAGCAGTTCCCCAAATCCTATCCAATCAGAGTGAGCTTCCGTCTCTCGACGTCGTAGAACAAGCGTCCTTAACGTCGTCCTTCACCTGTGTTCTTGTGCATGGAGCAGTATCTGGGCCTGGACCAGAGACGACGCCAACACAGGTCTGAGGGCGTCCACGCTGTTTCTAAATGTAAACACAGGTCGCATATGTGACAGAAGAACATATTTTGTGGCAGGCAGTGACGTTTGGAAACCTAGAACCCCAGTTATTGACGTCCACATGCAGACGCATAAACAGCATTATTCACAGAGGATTCACAAATCTTCACTTTGGTCGGAGGTTTTTGGAAGAATCGTTTTTAATGCCGTATATCTGCACTTTCGTGTGGATGACGGGAGAAATCGTAGAAAGACATCTTTGTTTAGTGACCCTGCTACGTGTGGACGAGGCTTTTGCTCTACAGGGAGTTAGTTTTCCTTTTAAAATGACCCAAAGTAGGGACGCAAATTTGGACGAATGTTCTGGACTGATCCCTAAATAATAAAGTACCCCAACTCATAATTCACTACAACGACATACACACACTGTTCAGTGGTTAATAAGACGGCCATCAAAACCTTACATGTGTCAGCTCTGGTCGGCAATCATTAACCATCACAGGAGTCTTTGTCATGGTGGCCCTTTAGTAGCTAAACTCCCACAATGCTCTCTGTTTGCCAACATGGACTTCCTGTAATCTGAGCGACCTCCACCTCTGGTCTCTACAGTGTTAAACAGTTAGAGGCTCCACCTGGTGGAACGACCAGGTACTACAGCTGATCTACATCCCTAAAGTATTGTTAGATTTTGCTGATCTACCCGGTAGGCGTTGAGGTCAACGTGGAACAAAGCTGTGCAATGACTGAGGAGCAAGCGTGGCTAAAAAGAGGAAAACTCGTTATAGGCGTCAACCGTTTAGGACCGATATCGAAACGGATCGTAAATAATCAAGGAGATCGATAGCAAGTATTTGGAATCGATATGTATTTGCAAAAAAAGTGGAAATTCTAGTGTCAAAAAACCCCAAACTGCAGCACAAAACTTTGTGATACAGTGTGGACTGGCCGTGATGTGTGACCAATCAGATAGCTCTGTGGGCGGGGCATAGCGGCACTCTGTCTGGAAAACGCTGCATATCGGAGCTGATCTGATCCTCTACACAAACTGCAGCTTCACACCACAGGCCTCCCGGTGCTGATCCACCCCGCACTGTCTGCTTGATATCCTATAAATAGACGGTCAGAAGTGCCGAAGCCTTGATCTGGGTCCAAACCCGTGGCATCACAATTTCACTGTAGGGCCCGAGGACCCGACAGAGGCCTCTTTGTCCGGGTTTCCTGTGTGCTAATGTACAGCTTGTTCAGTCCCACGGCTCCTTTCATGTATATCACACCTCCTGAGATCTATGGAGGCCAGATCACGGTGAATTCCCAGAACCTGGGGGGACGCTGTGTTTCACTGATTATGGGAGAAGAAAACGACGGACATGTTGATTGGAGTCTCGCGGGTTTGCTGTCCGAGCTTCTCCATCCTTTTTGCTTCTGTTCGCGTCATTAGAGCGCAAAACAATAAAAACAAAGTAGAACAAGTAGAGCAAAGTGGGATAAAACGAAGCAGAACCTGACAGAACGACGAGGCGTTACTGACTGAGAGCAAAGCGATAAATCACATCGATTAAAGGGACGCTCCACCCAAATCCATTTGGCAGGAACACAAAGAGGACACAACAACCGACAGCGTTTTCCTTCACTGTGGGCTCGATTTGCACCTCAGTGGAAACAGAACAGCCGCAGCTAGAAGGAGACGGAACTGAAAAATGACTTCTGGGGAGTTAAAACATAAAAATTAAAAAATAAGTCAAAAGCTGAATTTTTTTATTTGTTTCACAAAAGTTGAAAAAAACCTGAAATCCACAAGAACAACATTTTGTTTCCGATACTGGGACAAAATGACAGATATTTAACTATTGTATGATTTTATTTGTTTGTTTTGTTGTTGCGTTAGTCTTGAAAAGCACCATATAAGTATTATTATCAGTATTATTATTACTATTATTGCTCTCATGTTGTTTCACCGTGCTGGATGAATCTTCCAGCAGCTTGTTTCCTCTCCGCTCTGTGGAAGCACACTGCCTGCAGTTCAAACTAAAACTCTCTGAATTGTTGTCGCCTGACTGTCGGTCACAGACGAGTCAAATGCGACTTTTCAGTTGTGCAGTGAAGCGACAATTTTTTTGTATTTCCGTGGATCTGGTTTGATCTAACGATTTATCTTTTGGCTTTTTTTTTTTTTTTTACTTTACCAGCATCACACATGGTTAGTTCAAGGACCGTCGGACATTTATAAACTCATTTTTTCTCCAGTTTCTGATAAACTGGCGTCTCTTTCACACTGAACCCACCACGTCACACTGATCAAACGACTGAAGCTTTTTGTTATTTTTGCATCTTCCTGTCCTGTAAACGCTGATTATTTTTACGCTTCCTCCTGAAACCTGCCGCCGGCTGACGTTTCCACTCCGTCACAGACGCACTCGGCCTTTAATGCAAATCTTTACGCAAGAAACTTACTTTAAATTTGATAAACAAATCGACGACCGGCCGTTTGACACGCGCAAGTTTTTAAGACTGTGTTTGCTTTATGAATGAATAATCCATAAAATGACGCGTCGAGCGCAGTATTATTAAATAATTATGTTTGTCATTAATAAAACAAATAAGTAAACGTATAAAAATAATTTCAAAATGAAGATTATAAACCGGTTGCCAGGTTGTGGAAAATCCTCCTCTGGCACTAAACTTCTTTTATTAATGATTTGTAAACATAAAAAGTATTTATTCATGATTTTCCCTCATTTATAAATTATTTAAATTAAAGATGTGATTGAAGAGATGTGAGCAAAAAGGAGAAACTTCACCCGATAATGTAATAAAACAGGTTTTACCACCAACGTTTTGCATTTACTGCCTCGTCCTCCTCAGTCAACGCGGTTCGTTTCCTCCTCGTGCTGGTTTTTATTTTTATCTGCCGTCACTGTTCATAGTTTTAGGTTTGTTTTCGTGAACCGGTTACAAAAACAAACTGAGGCGTTCTCTTTCCTCCTCCTCTTCGACCTCTGCTGCTCCTTCGCATTTGTTTGAGCTTCCTGAGTCGCTTTGCATCTCCTGGAGACACCGATGCAAATCCGCCTTTCCTCGGCCATGTCGTTATTATTTTCTGATCTATGTTTTTTGCCCTGAAGCGCAGCTGGAAGTCTGCAGTAGAAGCTCAGCGAGTCAACAATGCAAATCCTCTGACAGCAGCTGATGATCAATATGTTTTCAGAGCCGATCGTTGGCCGGATCGATGCACATTGGGTTTTACGCTCCAGCTGAAACGACTAAAATGCACCAAAGTGCACAAAAAACAAGTTTTTATTATGAGTTAAAGCAACTTAATATGACAGTTATGAAATAAAGACTAAAGGCTAAATTGTGGATTTCCATAGGGAGGGATCAATAAAGTCGATCTTATCTTAACCTACTGACCCACGCAAACGAACAAACTACACAAAAGCACTGCTGCTCTCTCTGTTTTCCTGGATATTCAATATTATTAGACAGTTTTATCAGACATTAGAGGAGCTGCTGGTTTAAACGCTTAAAATGTTTGATGAGAAAGCTGAATATTGTGTGTTTTGTTTATCAAAAAGATGAATATTGTGTGTTTTATTCATCAAAAAGGTGAATATTGTGTGTTTGTGTGTCTGCAGAGAAGGACTACAGCAGCCTGTGTGAGCGGCAGCCCATCGGCCGGTTACTCTTCAGGCAGTTCTGCGAGACTCGACCCGAGTTGAGACGCTGCGTCAAGTTCCTGGACGCTGTGGTGAGAAGATTGTGTTGCCGAGTTGTTGCCAAGCTTTTTGCGGTTGCTGTGCTGTGGGGGTTTTGTGTCTGTTTTGGCTCATTTTGTGTTTGTTCGGGGTTGCTTTGTGTTTCTCTTTTCTCTTTATGGTGGTTTCGTTTCTCCTTTTGGGCGTGTCGGCTCGTTTTGTGGTTGTTTTGTGTCTCTTTGTGGTTGTTTTGTGTCTCTTTGTGGTTCTTTTGAGTGTCTTTGTGGTTGTTTTGTTTCTTGTTGTGGTTGTTTTGCATTTATTTGGAGTTGTTTTGTGTCAACTTTTGGGCATTTTGTGTCTTTTTGAGGCCTTAACATGTCTTTGTGGCGTTTTGTGGTTTTTTGCGGTTGTTTTATGTTTCTTTTTGATTGTTGTGTATCTCTGTGATTGTTTTTTTTGTCTTTGATTGATCATTTTGCATCTCTTTGTGGTTGTTTTGTGTCTCTTTGTAGTTTTTTGGTTTTATTTTATGGTTGTTTTGTTTCTTTCTGTGGTTGTTTTGTTTCTTTTTGTAGTTGTTTTGTTTCTTTTTGTGGTTGATTTGTTTCTTTTTATGGTTGTTTGTTTCTTTTTATGGTTGTTTTGTTTGTTTTCGTGGTTGTTTTGTTTCTTTTTGTGTGGTTGTTTTGTTTCTTTCTGTGGTTGTTTTGTTTCTTTTTATGGTTGTTTTGTTTCTTTTTATGGTTGTTTTGTTTCTTTTCGTGGTTGTTTTGTTTCTTTCTGTGGCTGTTTTGTTTCTTTTTGTAGTTGTTTTGTTTCTTTTTGTCGCTGTTTTGTTTCTTTTTGTGTTTTTTTGTTTATTTTTGTGGCTGTTTTGTTTCTTTTTGTGGTTGTTTTGCATCATTTTGAGGTTTTTTTGTTTCTCTTTTTGGTCATTTTGTTGCAGTTTCGATCTGTCTGGTTCTTCTGTGTTTCTTTTT